GCATGGCCTCGTGTCCTATGTAAAGTCCGGTTTGTGAATAGATTTCCACACAATGGTTTGTATTGGCCCCGAATATATTTGTATAATGTTATCATATCCCCTCTCAGGCGACGTTTTTCTAAACTAAATAGGTTTAAATTTGTTAACCTTTCTTCATAGCCGATATGTTCCATTCCTTTTATTAATTTTGTAGCCCACCTCTGCACTTTTTCTAGTGCCATAATATCCTTCTTTAGAACAGGTGCCCAAAATTGCACAGCATATTCAATATGGGGTCTTACCAGTGATTTATAAAGAGGCAAAATGATATTCTTGACCCGAGAATGAATGCCCTTTTTCATGCATGAATACCTTACTGGCCTTGGCCACTGCTGATTGACATTGCACATTGTTGCATTGTTTGTTGTCTAATTCCCAAGTCCTTTTCATGTGTTGTTATCCCTAATTCGCTTCCATTAAGGGTATACGTTGCTTGTGTATTCTTTACGCCGAAGTGCATAACTTTGCATTTTTCAACATTAAATTTCATCTGCCATTTGAGTGCCCAGTCCCCAGTCTATCTAAATCCCTCTGCAGCAAAGTAATATCTTGCTCACATTGTATTGTTTTACAAAGTTTGGTGTCATCTGCAAACACTGAAACATGACTTTCAATGCGGTCTTCAAGATCATTTATAAACATGTTAAATAGAAGGGGTCCCAGAACAGACCCCTGAGGGACACCACTTGCCACCTCTGTCCAGCTTGAAAATTTACCATTAATGACAACTCTTTGTACTCTGTTTTTAAGCCAATGTTCTACCCAAGAACAAGCATTTTCATCTAGACCGATTTCCTTGAGTTTGAACACTAATCTATTGTGTGGAACTGTATCAAATGCCTTGGCAAAATCCAAATAGATCACATCCACGGCAACACACTGATCTATACTTCTACTTACTTCTTCGTAGAACGCAATCAAGTTAGTTTGACATGACCTGTGCTTCATAAAACCATGCTGATTTTTGCTGATAACCATGTTCTTCTCAAGGAATTCTTGAATATTATCCCTTAATAACCTTTCAAATATTTTACCAGCCACAGAAGTTAAGCTCACAGGTCTATAATTTCCAGGCAAGGATTTTGAACTCTTTTTGAATATAGGAACCACATCTGCCTTCCTCCAATCCTCCGGAACACTTCCTGAAAGAAAAGAATCTTGAAAGATTAAAAACAGAGGTTCACTTATTTCTGCACTTAGTTCCTTAAGTACACGTGGATGGATACCGTCAGGCCCTGGAGCTTTGTTTATATTAACTTTCTTTAGTTGCTGCAGCACCTTGTCTTGAGTTAACCAATTACAATTATTCTGCAAGTTTTTAGTAGCAATCATTTGCACATCTATTGCCATGGGTTCTTCCTTAATATATACGGAGGAGAAATAGTTATTTAAAATTCCTGCCTTTTCCTGGTCTTCATTAACTAACACCCCCGTTTCAGTTTTTAGTGTACCTACACTTTCATTTTGTTTGTTTTTTAGAATTTATGTACTTAAAAATGCTTTGGGGTTGGTTTTGCTCTCTTCAGCTATCATTATTTCATTTTGAAGTTTAGCAAGTCTAATTGCCTTTTTGCACGCATTATTTGCATCCTTATATCTTTTATAAGATGCATCTGATTTGTCCGATTTAAATGCTTTAAATGCCCTTTTCTTAGTTGTAATCTCTTGTTTTACTTCTCTACTAAGCCACATTGGTTTTAATTTGTTTCTTTTATATTTATTTCCCAACGGTACATACTGAGAAATGTCCTTTTTTAATATTTGTTGGAAGATGATCCATTTATCCTCAGTGCTCTTTTCACTAAAGAGTTTATGCCAGTCAATATATTGTAAAGCTTCCCTTAACTTATTGAAATTGGCCTTTTTAAAATTATATGTTTTAGTATTCCCCATGTGCTTTGGTGTTTTGAGTTTATTTCAAAGGACATTATATTGTGATCACTATTTCCCAAGTGCTCACCTACTTGAATGTTGGTCAAAAGATCAACGTTGTTTGTTAAAACCAGGTCCAGACAAGCATCCATTCTAGTTGGTGCTTGTACAAGTTGTGACATGAAGGTGTCATTTAACAAGTTTAAAAACCTAATTCCCTTTGCTGAGGCACTAGTCCCTCTGTCCCAATTTATATCCGGGTAATTAAAATCTCCAATAATTAAAGTGTTACCCAGATTTGCAGCTTTCTCAATTTGCTCAAACAGCTGTTGTTCCTCGTCAATATTAACATTAGGTGGTTTATAACATATCCCAACCAATAGTTGGTTTCCCTTCTTTTCCCCCAAGCAGATATTTACCCATAAAGCTTCCACATTATCCTCCTCGCATTCCATTTGCTTAACATTTGGCTTTAAATCATGTTTGACATACAAACATACCCCACCACCCTTCTTGTTTTTCCTATCCTTCCTAAATAACATGTACCCATTTAAGTTAGCTGCCCAGTCATGTGTCTCATCCCACCATGTTTCAGTTATGCCTATTATATCATATTGTTTAGTGTATGCTAATGCCTCTAGTTCCCCCATTTTGTTATTTAGGCTCCTTGCATTAGTAAGCATACATTTAATATTATGCGTCACTTGTATATTTTGTGAATTTTCACCATTACACAGCTTCTCTGTTCTGAGCTTGCCCCTCCCCCCGTTTCCACCCTCCTTATACTGTGCTAATGCCCATCTCCTTTCTGTCCTATCTCCATTTTGTAGATTGCCATGACCCTCCCCCCCCTACTACTGGTTTAAAATCTCCTCCAACCTTCTAGCCATCCTATCCCCCAGCACTGCAGACCCTCTCCCATTTAGGTGCAATCCATCACCACTATAAAGGTTGATACTTCATTACCGGTTCTTATCACTATGGACGTCAGTAGCCTCTATACCCTCATCCCTCATGATGTTGGTATAGAGGCTATGAGACAAGTCCTTATACAGTCTACAGTTTATCGAGGCCCACCGACTGAATTTCTGTTGGAGCTTGTGGAGTTTACATTAACACACAACTATTTACGTTTTGAAAACGATTGGTTTATGCAAATATAAGGAATGTCCCTGGGTGCAGCAATGGCACCCATGTATGCTAATGTCTTCATGTATGTTTATGAAATTGAACATATTTTTTCTGGATTTCAACAGCATATCACTCGATATTTTCATTACATCGACGATGTGCTTATTCTATGGAGGGGGACAGTACCCCAGGCAAATGCTATGGTTAAATACCTAAACCATTTGCCTTTACCAGTTAGACTGACAGTGCATATTAGTACCGAAAATTATAAAAATTTTGGATTTGGAAATAGCTGTGGTTGATCAAGGGCTCTCTTATACCCTTTTCTCCAAACCGACGGATCGGAACACCATATTACATCAGAATAGCGCTCATCCTTAACCATTGATTCAGTCAATCCCTTGTGCTCAATACCGTAGAGTAATCCGTAACAATTCTGACAATGCTGTTATGTCAGTACAGATCAATGAGATGACTAACAAATTCTTGGAACGTGGTTATAGCAACTACACTTTGGAAAAGGCGTTGGAGAAAGCAAAGAATGCACACGCCAGAGGAAGCTCCAAAGCACCAGACAGGTTAGTCTTTCCTATCAAAGACTAAAGTTACCAACATAGTGAAAAAGAATTGGAACGTGATGACAGAAGATACTTCTCTTCCACCTGCGTTTAAGGAACCTCCTATGATCTGCTACCGTAGGAATAGGAACTTACGCGACATGTTCGTGAAGACAGATCCAGTTCTGAGATACCAACATGAGCATAACATACAAATCAGGGGAAGTGTCAGATGCCTCCGTTGTGTAACATGTGAACATATGGTCCCCTCACGTACTTTTAACCATCCACATAACAATAAACGTTACATATTTAGATACCAACAAGCTAGTCCAAACTAATTCTTCTTGACCTCTCTGCTGCCTTTGACACCATTGAGCATGCTCTACTTCTTCAAACTCTTCAATCACTCAGTCTCTGTGACTCTGTCCTCTCGTGGTTTTCCTCCTATCTCTCCCAACGCTCATTCAGTGTCTCCTTTTCTAATGATACCTCCTCCCCTCGTCCTGTTTCGGTTGGAGTCACCCAAAGCTTTGTCCTTGGTCCCCTTCTATGTTCTCTTTATACTGCCTCTCTTGGCAAACTTATTACCTCTTTTGGATTCCACTACCACCTGTACGCTGATGACACCCAGCTATATCTCTCCTCCCCGGACCTCTCCCCTGCCGTCCTGCAACGTGTCACTGCTTGCCTTTCTTCCGTCTCTGACTGGATGTCCTCCCACTTTCTGAAACTCAATCTCTCTAAAACTGAGCTAATTGTCTTTCCTACTCCTAATACTGATCCTCAACATTCGCTCTCCCTTCAAGTTAGTGGTATCCACATAAGTCCATCCTTGCAAGCTCGCTGTCTTGGCGTCATACTTGATTCTGGCTTCACCTTTGAGCCTCATATCCAGTATGTTGCCAAATCCTGTAGATTCGATCTTAAAAACATAGCCCCCTTTCTTATGCAAGATGCTACCAAGGAGCTTGTCCATGCTCTAGTAATTTCCTATATGGATTATTGCAAACCTCTCCTAATTGGTCTTCCCAAAAGACTGATTTTCCTCTCTGTCACTCCTCACATTGGCTTCCTGTATGCATCAATTTAAAGTGCTAACCCATACCTATAAAGCACTGAACAATTCTAGCCCCTATTATATCTCTTCACAGATCAATAGGTATGCCCCTTCTCGGTCTCTCCGCTCTACCTGTGACCGTCTTCTGTCCGTTGCTCGCACCTGTATGGCCAACTCACGCTTGCAGGACTTTTCGCGGGCGGCTCCCTTCCTATGGAATAGCCTGCCTACCGCTATCAGACTCTCCCCTAGTCTTCAATCGTTTAAGAAGTGCCTTAAAACCCATCTGTTTAGGAAAGCTTATGGCCTCCCAGAGTAACCTCTACCTTACATACCTTGCTCTCTCTTAAAGGGCAGCACTCTACTCTCTCCTCCAGCTCTGCTTCACTCCCACCTTATTTGATTGCTATTTACTGTCCTAATGTGTTTTATACCCCACCTCCTATAGACTGTAAGCTCGTTTGAGCAGGGTCATCTTCAACCTATCGTTCCTGTACGTTTTCTTGTAATTGTCCTATTTATAGTTAAATCCCTCCTCTCATAATATTGTAAAGCACTGCGGAATCTTTTGGCGCTATATAAATGGCAATAATAATAATAATCTTTTTCTTTTTTTTTTTATTATCTTTATTTGATTTATAAAAGACTTAACATACATAGAAGGGAGTATGACAGTCCTCCCAAAAAACATACAATTACTAAACAGAAGTATATCTTTTACTTTTGTAGAAAAGTCTGCATAAACCTTCCAAATACTTTTTACAACACAGATAAAAAAAATAAGTAGACAAGACAAACAATATTGGTCATTCTCTATCACATCATAATACTAGGTCAGAGACCTCGCCACTTACTACCAAAACCCCCCAGAGAAACAGAAAAAAAGGAATAAGCTCAGAGCCAAAAATACATCCAAGTGATTAAACAGAAATAAGTATACCTAAAACCCTGGCCAATCAAAGTATCCGTATCAAGGATCATCTATGCGTGTTAGATCCCTTAAATCTCAATTTAGAACTTATTAGTCCTTTCTAAAAGGGGGATATATAGTTCCAATATTCTATGATTTGAGATTAAATTTGTAGAATATACACATTTTTCCATCTCTAACTGGTATAGCACCTGGGATTTAAGTTGGTCCTTAGTGGGAACCTCTATACGTCTCCAATGTCTAGCAATTAGGATCTTAGCTACCAATAAACAATGAATAAGAACCATATCAGTTTCTTGGTTCGTATCTGGACCTATTATATGTAAAAGAGCTAACTCTGCCTTTTGTTCAAATGATTTGTCCACTAACACATAGACAAGATTAAAAGTCAAATTCCAAAAGGATCTAATTCTGAGGCAAGACCACCAAATATGTATCAATGAACCATCTGGCTGAAAACAGCGCCAACAATTAGGCGGGTTAGTCTGTGAAATTTTTGCTAATTGTAAAGGGACCATATACCATCTGTATGCAATTTTAATAAAAGTTTCCAGAATATTCAGACAATGGATATATTTTTTTGTCCTCAAAAAAGACTTACACCACAAATCCAGTGGTATATTTATCACTAATTCAGTTTCCCATTTTATTAATGCCTTGGGAATATCCTGACCCCCCTTCAATCTTATCAATTCTATAGCAATCGATGTCACATTTTTAACTTCATTTCCTGTAAATATTTTTGTTAATAGGCCCCCATCTCTGCTGTCCAGGGATATCAAGTTTTCTTTAAGGAAACTTTTAATACGGAGAAAGTTAAACACTTCTCTAGAAGGTAGATCTAGTAAAATTTGTAACTCTTCAAAACTTTTCAATTGTTGTCTATTATAAAGATCTGATATTATATAAGGAGAATTTCTATACCAGTTTAAATTTATATCTGGCAAAATTTGTTCTAAAGATTCAATATTAATTTTTTCTAGGATATTATTATTAATATTCAGTTTTTTCCTGATAATTTTCCATTCTTTTAAGATTTGAAGAATCAGGGAGGATTTTGATGGTAGGTTGCAGAGTGAATAATAATTACTTTCGTCGCTCCATAAAAGAGATTCTAAGTTTTTTTACTCCGGCTCTATAATATTAAATTTTATACCATACTTCGAGTTGTGCCTCCTTTATATGCAATTTACTAGCATGAACCAGCATATTTGCTTGATATATCTGACTGATTAAGGGATACCCCATGCCACCCTGGTAACCCTTCTTTGAAAGAGTAAAAGTATTAATTCTGGGCCTTTTGCCTTTCCAGATATAATTATTAATACTACTTTGAATCATATTTAACCAATGTATGGGATTATATAAGTTTTGATTGTATTAATCCTACCCCACCAAGATATTTCGTGAACTCTCCATACTTTCAGGAGTGAATTAGTCTCCTTTAATAATTTTTTAAAATCGGTTTCCATAGCACGCATTGGATCAGCAGTAATCACTAAACCCAAATAAATGAATTCCTTATTGGTCCAAATAAAATCATAATCTTTTTTCATAGTAATTAAAATGTTACTTTGGATATTCATCACCATAGCTATTGTTTTACTCATATTCAATTTATAATTAGAAACTATACTATAGTTTTCAAATTCTTGCATTAGAAATGGTAAAGAAATATGCGGATCAGTAATAGATATTAATATGTCATCCGCATATAGACAAATTTTCCAATCGTTATGTTGGTGCCCAACACCCCTAATCCTTTTATTACTTCTGATATTATTGGCTAATGGTTCAACAGATAGCACATATAATAACGGAGAGAGAGGGAAGCCCTGTTGGTCCCATTTGAAATAGTGACCCATTCAGAACATAAATCTCGGCACACTATTCTAGCCATGGGATTAGAATATATTGCACCTACAGCATCCAAAAACCAACCCTCAAATCCAAATTGTTCCATTGTGGTCCGAAGGAACTCCCATCCAACCCTGTCGAAGGCTTTTTCCGTATCTACCGACAGGGTCAGAAGAGGAGTTCCCTCGGACCAAGCCCAGTCCAGAGTATCCAGTACTCTGCGGGTGTTATTACAAGATTGCCTACCCATCATGAATCCTATCTGATCTGGATGAATCAGTGTCGGTAAAATTACTTTTAGTCTTTCGGCCAAAATGGCCGCATATATTTTCACATCCACATTAACCAATGAAATAGGCCGGTAGTTAGTTACATCAGTAGAAAGCTTGCCTTGCTTCAATATTGGGGTAATATGTGCCCTTAATAAGCCATGAGAGGCTCGCCCCTTATTTGCTAACTTGTTAAATGTATCAAGCAATAAGGGTATTAACTCTTTTTTAAAGATTTTATAAAATAAATTGGAATATCCGTCAGGACCTGGTGCCTTACTACTCTCCAGTCTGCATATTGCCACATCTACTTCCTTAGTCGTAATCGTTTTATTTAAATATTCTCTTTGGGGGGCCGAGATTTTTTTCAAATTCAAATTTTTAAAATAATCCTCAATCGTAACTCTCTCCAGTGTTGCATTTAGATTGTATAAATTCTCATAGAAATATCTAAATTTATTAGCTTTATCTTCCGGTTTATAGATATTATCCCCCTCTCTTAATTTAAATATCTTACGATCTATATCTCGTTTCTTTGGTTTATTCGTTAAAATTGAGTCCCTATTTTCCTTTATAGTAGTATCTAGTATTAAGTTTCTTTAAATTTCTTTCTATTCTAATCCTAGTCTGTTTATTAATCTCTTCCTGACAGTTCTTAATGGCACGAGCCTTATCCTCCGTATAATTGAGTTTATTAGCTTTAGACAGGTTATAAAATTTAATATAAAGATCTGCTAAGTCACTTTCCCTACTTAGTTTCTGTTGACTTGCAAGTTGAATCCAATAGCCTCTAGTTACCAAACGTACACCACAGGCATTCCTTGGATATTTCGTCAGATGAATTTTCTAAAACAAATAGTTTCATTAATCTCTCTATATATTCAATATTAGTTTTATTTTTTAATAGGTAGTCAGCAAGTCTCCAAGTCGGAAGTATTCTATTTTGTCTATCCACCACTTCAGTTATAACCATGTCATGATCAGACCAAGTATTTTCTGCTATATTAATTGTTAGAATTGCTCTTGAAAAACTCAAATTAACGAAAAACATATCTATTCTAGCAGAAGATTTGTGAGGGAAAGATTTATGTGTATAGTTCTTATCATTAGGGTGTGCTAATCTCCAGCAATCAAACAAGTCTGTCTTCTTAGTGGCTCTATTGAAAGCTGCTGCCTGTTTCTTTAAGACTTTATCTATTTGTTTATGAATTGCTAGTTGTTTATCCATTTGAGTATCTAAGATGCAATTAAAATCGCCTGCTATTATAATTCTGCCCTTTTTAACTTGGTCAGATTTAATACTCTAACTAGCGTTTTTATCGGATCTTTATTAGGTAAGTAGACATTTACCAATGTATACTCTATATCATTTAATAGGCCCACTAATATAATAAACCTCCCATCAGGGTCTAGGAAGTCAAATTTGATTTCTTTAGAGAATAAGACTGTAACCCCACATTTTTTGTATATCCTGTAAAGAGATTAGAATGGCCTAACAGGGAGAAGTAATGGGGAAGCGGAAGAAGGGGAAAAAAATAAATAAAAAAATAATACACTGCCCATTATAAACCATTAAATATTAAAGCTAAACTTTTACTAGTTAGACAGCTACAACATCAAAATAACTCTAATAAGTTTGACGAGCCTTAAACTCTGTCCTAAAGGCTAATTCTTAGAATATCAGTATCTCTTATAGAGTATTATTATGATACATAATCAATCAATAGAGCTGTACCATAATTTTTAGGCAAAAACCCCCCACAAAAAAACAATTTCCCGTTATTTCCTTAATAACTCCTATCTCAAATCTTGTGCAATAATAATCCAATGAATATTCATTACTTTGAGTTAACTACTTCAATATATCAAACTTATAAAAAATCAGTTTAAGTGTTCATCATTTATAGTGTTATGTCCACCCTAAAGTATTAGAAAGTAACCCAAAAAGAAATACCTTATACTCCAAGCTCATAAACCAGTAATCCGACTCTCATTTAACTACCGGATAGTTTCTAGTTATAGTTATTTAAACTTTTAAGGAGGGATATTAGTTCGACAACTACCAGATCAAAAATATTTCTAGTGAATTTAGTGAGTCATATTCTATATCTTAAAACTAATTCTTAACTTAACAAGGTCTCTTGTAAAGTGAAACATATTATACCAATCCTTCATTACTGTGATACATAATTAATCAAAAAGTGCTATGCCATATTATTAGAGGTAATCACCTCCAAACCTTAATTACCTTATATCGTGAGTCAAATAACATATTCCTACAACATGAAAAACAAATCCTTTACCACAGCAATCAAATCGATATTGGAATAATAGTGATTTGTATAGTTAATTTGAATACCTAAGTATAAGAGACTTACAAAAATGTGTTTTGTGCCCTGTTTTAAAATGATATATCATATCCATTGTATCAGAGTGTTTCCAGAAAAACCTTAGAATTTACTTCAAAAACCTATACCCTAAAAAAAAAACTAAAATT